TACCGATTCTTTGACAAAAAGTGTAATATGGTCGTCTTTTGTTATACAAAACGGGTCAGGGTCATGTCCTGTATTACTATTAAACATGAACGATTAACCGTCTTTTAAAGAGTATTTTCCAAACTGCAAACATTCATGGACAGTTCTAGAACTGTTTCGCCATTTGATGTTGACAATCCACCTTGTTTCAAATATAGAGTGCGAACAGGTAAATTATACTTTAAACAGCTGAGATAGATGGTTGTATCCATAAGACTTGATTTGGAATAGGCATCGGCGTTGGGTTGCCAGAGCAGTTGCTTTTGTCGAGATCTGAATCTCAATCTAAGACGTGCTTACGAAGTTTAATACCTTACACAACATTGAGGACAAGCCAGATTCTATCGGTCAACTGGAACTTCAACTTCGAGTCTAGTCTACTTACATTTTGAATGAAAAAGTTCTTAGGAACAACCCAATCAAATTAATTAAATCATTTCTTATTACCTTATAATGTTCAACTAGATATTGGATATTGGTTTGATTGGTTCACACAAACATAGACAGTAATTTAGAAAAAGCGAGTGGGACTTAAGCAAGATGTCTTACAATCTCCAATATCAATTATTTTGATAATGTTGTTGTTTGATGAAAATCATTTTTATTTTTTTATATAATTTATTTTAGCCTTCCATAATTACGACTTAAGCTGGAATTGTGCATATGCTCTACCGCTAATAATTAATTACTTGCGTTGATTTGCCTTATTTATTGTATCCCTGGATGATTCGCATTGCAACACAAATAATGTTTCGGCCTGGCTGTACGAGAATATATACTGAGTGACAAAAACAGTTACGCCTGTTTATCTGATTACAATAATTTTTATTTATCTTGTTGGTGTATCTCATTCCCGGTGACTACAACTTCATGAGTAAGAGAAAGTCTGTGGATGGTGTTGCAAATTCAAGAGTCTGCGACCTATCATGTTCAAGACACGTTCAATTGGAGATAGGTCAGGCGAATTCTATGCACTCTAGGCATTTTGAGCAATCACAAAAAGGCTTCTCAATAAGCTACATGAAATTTAACATTTAACTGACACCGTAAATGTACGAAAACTGAATGATTCTTTATCATCAAACAATACACGCAGCCACCACAATTTTATCACTTGTTGTTCGTGAAAAGATAAATCGATATGTAAAAATTTCTTAAATTCTAATAAACATACGTAGGTTTACGTTTTTTGTCACAAGTTAGTAGGCATTGGTAGACAAATCTACCCAAATATATGCTCTAAACCTATATAACTTCGGCGATAAACACTGCGTTGTAAACCTCTTGAGAATTAGCGATGGAAAACTGACAATTGACACTGGATAATATTTTCAAGTTATTTGTAGAACACCTTTTCCAGTACAAGTAAACATAGAACCTTTCTGCTGAACGACCTTTATCTCAACCAAGCTGACATCGAATAACCAAACCAATTATAGACCCTCTTGCAATTATTTTAGATTCGGTTACGCCCACTATCTACCTCTAACAGTGTTTACGTTGGTCGTCTTTAAGAAACTTTTGAAGAATGGTGTTATTAGCTTTTTGGACGATTTAGGCCTTCCGAGAAACGGGATGTAATTTTTTAAATTAGATATTAGTCAATACCGGTTTTAGGGTTCCAACCAGAGTCAGCAGACCGAACCAAACATTCATGGCAACGTATTGCTTTATCTTCAATTCAATTTTTATCTTGATATACCTATCTAAAAGATTATTTGTATCCATTTTGACGTTATTTTTTTTTCAGGTAAGTGCATTGTACACTTTTCTGTGGATTATGTAGACCAGTAGTTCGTCCCACGTGAGTAGTGTGAATATGCCTTCATAATTATAAAGATCTGTTTATTTGTCACAGAGTGCCAAATTTTATTGTACCTATGGGTAATTAATTTATTTGATTAAGTCATTTAGGGTTTTTGGCTTACTAGCATCTTGAAATATAGAAATGAATGGGTGCAAACGATATGTCCATAGGCTCATTTCTTGGCAATCTTCAATACTGAATAACGGTGCTTGCTGTGGAATAGCTTTGACTGTCCACAACATTTAAGCTTTGTTCCAACAAACGATCTAACTAGTCCTGAACAGAACACGCACACATCTAAATTGCTCAAGAGAAAATGAAACCGATCTCGTAAGTTCCTATTCTAACAAATTCTAACAGTTTTGGTTCTGGTAGAGTACTAATAGTTCAAAATTGATAGCGCACGCACGTTTACAGGATAAATGGCTTCGATGAGCTGTTTATAACTGGGAAAAAGGTCTAGGTTTCAAACACACTCGTTGCCTATACCGAAGAACAGAAACGGCGAGACTCTAGTTCTAGATCTATACTAATCTCTACTGGCATAAGCAAAATCCTGCGTCTAGTTGCTTGCTTAAGTGATTATGCTCAACACATCGTACCTCATACCTATCACGAGTCCACAATTTCCTCGATATTTATCTCGCTAACATCGAAGGAAAAATGTTTAAGCTAAGAATGGGACAAATGAATTATTAATACATCATGAATTACAATGTACCATTGTTGTGGCACGTTGTATTTTTTATTTTATCTTAATCATATTCATTTGTCTCTAAGTGGGTAGTTGACACTAGGCGAGGTAAGTTGAGAGAGTCTATTGTATAACGATTACTCAGGCTCATTGATGATCGAAGAACACTTTCAGACCGATTATGTTTTCTTCAATATCGGTAACGGTTAGCGAGAAGCACGTTCAAAAACATTATTGAGAGTACTTCTGAGATGGCCCAAATCAAAAATCAGTAAAAAGTTAAAAGACATGTATCTAGTAAAAAATTAACTACATAGTTGGTTTCGTATCGGAGGTCAATAAGCTATGCTAACTATTTGGGAACGTTCTCTTGTTTACTAAAACGAACTTTTTGGGAATATTTTGTTGAGCTTCAAGATATACAGACTAACCTTTTTAGTTGACGGTGTCCTTGACACAGCTTCTTGAAAGAATCGTTTTATCATAGTAGCACCTACGCTATAGCCTTATAAAATGACACATGCGCAATGTAAACACGAACTTGTTGATTTGATGTAAGTTTACGGGAATTGTCTGCAAAATACTGTTGATGCTTTACTGCATAATTAAGCAGTATGAGTCAGCGTCCGCCATTCTTCTGTTTCTTACAATTAATACAAGACAGTGCGATTGCGCCCCCAAAATATCGTCAGTGTTTTAAACAACGTCCAAAAGCATGGTGATCTGCAGGCGTAACTATCACACCCAGAAACAAGTGGAAATAAACAAGCGAAGCATGTCAGGCATTTCGCTGAAGCGGGACAACTTGATTGCTCCGTACACCCTAATCTGTAGACTGAAAAATGTTGAAGAGACTCCAGATATACCGGACTACATTTTCGAGACCTGGATAGCTGGCTCCTATAATTTGCTTAAATTTTGCTTGATAAAAAACTGGTTGTGTTGGTTGGACTTGTGCATGAATCAGACGTAATGACTGCCATTTCAAAGAAATGTTGTGTGCTTGTAGTATGGGTAGGCAATGCAGGATAGTTCTTCAGAAGGCATTCTAAATGTAAGAACGTTTAATCAAAAAGGTATCTATAACTTCTGACGATACATCCTATATAATGAAAGATATTGATACGTTGTTATGTGTGTTCTAGTTAATTGTTCTACTGTAGCTTTAGCAAATAATATGGTATTCCCGTTAAGTAAATCATCACTATTAAAATGCTGTCTAGTTGGCTCTACTATGTGAAATGAGTACACACTATATCAACGCACATTTAAACAAATTTTAGTACTGATATTATATTATTTAAAATATAGGTTGTAGAAATTTCGAGGGCCTTGATGAACTGATGGGACTAAGATATCTTGAGGGTATATTCTCAAACATTCAGCATATACTTTTAAACTGATATCATTGCGTGAGAAATGCATAGTTAATCTAGTGTCATTTTTCAAGAAGTAATCATATCAACTTCTTGGTATTTCGAAATAAATGCCGCAATTTTTAACCGGTGTTTTCATAACAAGAACAATCTTTATGTGTTTGAGTCATTGTATTTCACTGTTCAGAGGTGGCATTATAATTCTTCGATATAAATGAGGAGAGAAAATACTTGAAACATATCTCACCTAACAAGAAGAACTAAATAGCGTGATTTGTGTTCCATTTAAACTCGCTGTATTCTCTAAACTAATAGACCAGTCATCTTGGCTTGTAAGTAAAGCTCTTCAATTTAACATCATCAGGGACCTGCATAAAATGTATTTCAGTATTAAGAGCCATATCGTCAGTCGTTTCTACAATTGTAGGATGCTTTTATGGCCTCCTTGATTTTCACAGTTTTTCCTATCCTTCAGAAAGGCGGGGGTATTTCTAGATTTCTACTGTTCGTATCAGTGGCTCTATTTTGAAGTTATATTTTCATTTTTGAATTCTTATGAAACTTGATTTTTAGCATCTGTTTTTTCTGCTTGAGTCTCAAAAAGAAAACATAACCTAAAAATAGGAGAACGCTAACGCTGACACGGAACAGTGGACACCTAGAAGTACCCCAGCCTTTTAGAAGGAGAGAAAAGTCTATGAAAATCAAGGTCATAAAGTAGCTACTACAGTTGTAGTGTTTTTCTAATGTACTTGAAATTGACAAAGTCATGATCTGACAATTTTAAATTAAATTTCTGTTAACCATTTTGATGAAGTAGCTAATAATCCATTTTGCTCACATTCAGTGTCAACTACGAGGGATGTCTTTTAAGTTTTGCATATAGAAAAATAGTAGGCCGCGCGGAATGAACGTCAGTATGGAATCTTAACCTCACTCTTTAGTAATCTCAAATTCAAAGTTTCACAACAATACGTGCAGTGTTCTCACTACATTAGAAAAATGGAACTCAACCGAGAACATTTTCGCGCCATAATTTGTTACAACCTTCAGAGACAACTATCGCAACAAGAATGCCTTGCTGAGTTACTGTCTGTTTTCGGCTACGAAGCGCCACATCAGTCGACAATTTCCCGTTGGTATGGAGAATTCAAATGTGGACGAGTGAGTCTTAGCGACGATCCCAGGATGGGTGCACCAAAAACGGCAGTCACCCAGGAAAACGTCGATGCTGTGCGCAAGCTCATCATTGAAGATAGAAATCTGACATATCGCGAGATTGAGGCGTCCTTGAAGATCTCAAAGATCTCAATTCAAAAAAATTACATGAAGAATTAGGAGTAAGAAAATTAGTTTCTCGTTGGATACCTCACCTGTTGACTGAAGAGCAGAAAGCAGCCAGGGTTAATTGGTGTCAAAAAACGCTTGACTGTTTCAATTCCGGAAACTCAAAAAATGTGTACAGGATTGTTAGTGGTGATGAATCGTGGATTTACTGTTATGAACCAGAAAATAAACGACAGTCGGGTGTTTGGGTGTTCCAAGGTGAAGAAAAGTCAGCAAAAGTCATCCGTTGTCGAAGTGCTTCGAAAAAGATGGTCGCGACATGTGTCAAAAGCGGGTGATATTGCAACAACTCCTCTTAATGAGCAAAGAAGTGTTACCGCGGATTGGTATACCACCATTTGTTTGCCAAAAGTCATCACCGAGCTTCAAAATATCAACCCCGAAAGAAGAATCATCCTCCACCAGGACAATGCAAGCTCGCACACAGACCAAAAAACAAGGCAGTATTTAACGGAAGAAAACGTGGAATTATTGCACCATCCTCCATATAGTCCCGATCTAAGTCCTAACGATTTCTTTACTTTCCCGAAAATTAAAAACAGACTGCGTGGTCAAAGGTTCCAGTCACCAGAAGAAGCAGTTGACGCATTCAAAAATGCCGTTTTGGATCTGCCAGCAAACGAGTGGGATAAGTGCTTCGAAAATTGGTTCGAGCGCATGCAGATGTGTATTAATCTTCATGGAGAATACTTCAAAAAACAATAAAGTTATTTAAAACTACCTACCATGTTGTTCTATTTCCAATTGCAAAACTTAAAAGACATCCCTCGTAGGTGACAACTTTGATAGTACACGAAAATTAACTACTGCTCGTGACTTTCAAGTGAGCTCTCGCTTCCCAGTTATGGTGAAACAGAAAATAACCATTGAGAGTATCAAGGAACCCTGAATTGATAATAATAATAATAATAATAATAATAATAATAATAATAATAATAATAATATATTTATTGCCCAACAGATAAAACCATTTAAAGGACAATGTAATTGAATACAATTTGACGTTACAGTATACAATCATAGCCCGCTCAGTTAAAAAAAAAGAAAAGAAAAAATGAATAGCCACCTACACCTACATGTCTTAAAATCTATAAATTGAATAATAGTAGTCGCTGAATACAGCTAATATATCTTTGAGTGTATCGTGATGAATGTCACAATTATCAGCTTGGTATTAAAGCACATAAAGTACCCGTGTACTTGGACTTCATAACATTAGAATTTGGTGTTTTCAAGTAAAAAGCCAGAAATCTTCGGGAAATGCGTGACGGTTCATGAAAATCAATTTTCCATCTAATTTGAAAGTCAAGTATTCAAGAAATCTCCTCTGTACACTTTTAATTTCCTTAGCATAGATTTGGTAATATGGATGCCATACACTAGATGCATATTCCAGCTTAGAACGCAGTGAACGCACCAAGGTGCAGTATAAAGCCTTCAGTGCCGTTTCACTACCAAACGATTTACAGTTTCTTATCTGGATGTTTGTGATTGTCATTATGATTCTCCTGAAGACGAACAAGATAACAAATAAATTGAGAAGATAGGTCAGGAGTCTGCATACAAGACCGTTGTAATATCAGCAGCAATGACTTTTCAGCAAATGACTTAACGAGGTTACTCCACAGTTACTATGTGACATAAGCAGGTACTTAGTTTATCTCACCAATCAAGCGGTGACGTTTGAGATATTTTAGAAGCTTCTTACAATGAAGCACTTGTCCATCATTTTACAGATTTCATACAGTTCTACAAGCATGTAGTTATTAGGGTTAGTTAATGACTTGAAGATGGGCCAACTTTCTGATCTCTGCAAACGTGCCAGTCGCGAGATACTTGAAGCAGCGTTTCCCACGTGACAAGGATGACATAGTGGCATGCTGTTGTGACGTTGGTAATTGTAAGCGAGCAAAAGGGTTAAGAGTGGACACATAAAAAAAAGGAAAAAGTGCTTTGCTGTATCAGAAAGTGGATAGCTGCAGGAAGTAATGCGAGGAAATACAATTATGCAGACGCCGAAGTGAGAAATAAACACCCTGAATATTTTAAAAATATGCTAGGAAAGTCTGAAGATCAGTTTGATTTTCTGCTGAAACCAACGTTGCGATCGGTTTCACTCTCGGCTAGCGTGTCAACGCTTGAAAATCAAGCGTGTTTGATACCCAGCGCTGGCAAAATCACGACAGAGGCGATTCCATGAATGCCAAGCTCCATGAGAACGCAGCTTAAGAGACACTTGAATGGACAAAAGGAAGCTTCCGTGTATCTTTAACAGAGACTTTGTCGGGACCAGAGACCTAATTCTAACTGAATTTGGACTATTGAAATTAAATTCTAAATCGCTATGCTGTCATACTTATGACCCGCTTTGTTAATTTTGGCTTCTGATTCTATATCGATATTGTCACAACAGCGTCAAAATTACCATAGCAGATATTATGTGTCCATGTCCGCAAGGCGACAGTTCTTTGTAAGCGCGGAGTAGCCCCAGTACAAGCCTAACGGTTCTACATCTGAAGGCTACTTGAATGATAGTGTAATGGCACTTGAACCTTGAAGGGAACGCAGCAGGGAACGCAGATCTCACCAGAAATATCCCTGCTGGTATAAATTCCAAATTGCCACCTCCTCCAAACAAAATGGTGCTAAATTGACTGCATCAAGGGGAATTCCAGCAATTCTAGCAATTTCTTGCTTCGTTACTCTTCGGCAAAATCGATTGTTTACGCACAGCCTACTCAGTGTGTCGGTACTTTTTCTCATCGTCTCACAAACAGGTAGGTGCAATGTGCAATTGTTATATAAATATTGTTTATGTGACGTCTATGGAATGACGTGTGGTTTGCAGCGACACGCCAACTTTTGCCCATGGCGCTTCGCTGTAGCGTACAGACGTATACAGTTCAAGGTACTAAAAAAATGGCGTCAACTAGCTTGACACTGCACTTCTCAAGCAATGCCGTTATCAGTTCATAAACAATTATGTTCAGCATAGGTTCAACCCTTTCGAAATAAGATATCGTCATAGACCTTATATCCTGCACGAAACAACTGGCCACGTTTGGCTGTCTCTGGATTGACGGACCAAAGCAGCATGTTTAAGTTAGACCTTCTAAAAAAATATATAGTTACGAACATGTACCACAGAGTAATTAAACGGATCAAGTCCGTCAAACAGGTCCATACAATTAGTCCATTAGCATTTTTCCCTGCCCTACCCTTAGTACCGTCCTATGGCAACGTCTCCTCTCCCCAATATCTGGTCGAACGATGCACGATGCATTAGATGTGGATCCGCGGTACAGCCAAGACACTTATGAAGGCTGGTACGCCTGCCGGTCAAGCCAAACAGCTGACGCAGGGACCCATACTGAAAACATTTCTGTATCGTTCCAAGTTTTAAGGACAAATGTACGGGTAAATCTATGATGTGTCTACAGGGTGTTAATAAAGTATGTAGACAAACTTTAACAATTGAATCCTTGGTCAATTTGAAGACTAAATGTTAATATGAACATGGGTCCGTAACGGCTTTCTTTGCGAGCTAGAGCACTATCACTAAAGACATACGAGTAATGTTCCAAATATTTCTATGAATAATGAAACGGATTTATTGAACAGGTGGTATAACCTATGATAAATTTTGAATGTTTTACAAGTTAATGAGGCTCAATATGAAAGTTTCCCAGACCCATTCCCCGTAAACGAAATGCATATCTGTCAGTTCTTGATTACTGAACTGGAGCATTATGACAATTAGTAATCACCAAAACTTAGAAATACTTGGAGTCTTAGAATGACCAGATAAGAAAACAGATATTTAACAGCTGTCGAATTATTTGAGAAAATAAATTAATTCAATTGTTTTTGGGTCCGTCATAGGTGTCCGGATAAGCGTAATGCTTAAATATTAAAAGTATGGTGATCAAAACAAATCAATGTCATGCTATTTTTCCAAAAAATACCGGATAACGTTCTACGTATCTACGTACATGGAGGGTCTAAAACTACTGTAAGTCATGTGATATTAACCACAGGGCATACTTAATTAAAACAAAATACGTTCCATTCTTTTATAATTTTTTAGAAAAATCTCGTCAATCCTTTTAGCGCTAATATGCTCTAACTTGAAAACAAAGCCGTTGCGGACCGATGTTCATAATCATGGAAATTTCGTCTTCAAATTGACCAAGGATTCGATGGATAAGATTTGCCTAAATACTTTATTAACACCCTGTATATACTAGCATCTAAAAATTGCGGTACATTCTCGCCCGTCTCTCAATTTTGTACCACTAACATTTTTTATAATTCATCAGGAGCCTTTTAAATGTCAAAAAATTTAATTATCTTTTCCCCTATCTGACTGTAGCGCCTCCGTCAATGGACCGATGTTCAAAACCTTTTATCCGAACCCGAGCAGTTATAGACGGGGCAAGGATTAGAGGACAGCCAGGTAGGTCAACCGAAATGAGAGAAATGGTTTTACGTGATGCGCATGGTCATATAACACAAAAAAACGTACTACCTCATTTTTTATTTTTTTTGGAATTGCAATACTTGCTCGCCAGTAGGCATGGGAAATAAAACTCGTACAGGCATACGAAAATGATGGTATTATCGCACTAGACAAAAAATAAGCATATTTGATGGTTCCTAGAAAGTTTTTTAGTCTGTCTAATTATTGTTATTGTTTGCACTTTCACCTATTTATACCTATCTAGCTTATATCGCCAAGGACATTACTTGGCAGCAACACATCACATCAGTCACAACAGCTGCTGAAAAGAAGTAGTTGAGTTAGCTTAGTAATTTTCGAAATCTGCCTTCCTTAGTGTGTATAACACCCGACCTGGAATACGGTAGTGGTACGACTTAGAAGTTTTGCTTGCAGGTCTTGGAGTCATATAAATATTCGGTCATGTTTTTATCAGTTGCCTGAGTGACCAGAGAACCGCTTAGAATACAGAAACTGAGGGTAGCCATTCTCCAGTAGTTGAGCGGTGAGGACCAAGAAAATGAACACCTTTTTCTTTCATTCTCAAATGTCATTTTACTTTAACATGCTGTGTAAATATCTACGTACCCATAACTTGCAGAGTATATGATGAACATCTGAAAATAATTGCAGTATAATAAATATTTTTAATTGTGTCAAACAAGCAATCCACTCTCCATTCGGGCAGTGACAATATTCTTTTTTTAATTGTTGGCATTTTTTTGTTTATTGCAATTTCTGCTTTCTCTTCCCTTCCTTTTTTAGTCTCTTCTATCTACTTCGCTCCCGTCTGCTTCTTCATATGGTTACGATAACCATAATAATAATCGCCTTAGGGTCGATTTCACCAAGGTTGTCAAATCAACAGTCCGTTGTTCTCCACCTATAGGGTAACAGTCCGTCGAATACAACGAATGAGCTTCAAGTTCCAATTAACAAATTTTAGCAACCAATAGCTATGAAATGTTGAAAACAAAATACTGTCAAAGTATAAGATCACAGCTTGTCATTGAAACATCACCAGCTTATTGAATTTCAAGAAATAACATATAATTCAGTCAAAATTTAAAGAAATGTAAGATTTTGGAATTAAATTCATGTTTTAATTACCGTTGTTGAATTTTTATTCATGTTTATATTATTTTCTTCGATTGATATGCGATTTTACTGACTCAAGATCATCTACTGGGTGTTTTTTCCTATTAACCTCTTGCAGATAGCCATTAAGCACCTACTTGATGACAGGCTCTACCAAAAGATATTGCTCGTTTC